AGAGCAGAGTGAACGTTTTTTTTTTTTTTTGAACATCATCCTAAAGCAGAGTGAACGTTTTTTTAATATCAGTTGCGGATAACAGTTGCTGGACCATTGCGCGCCCAGGATACCGATCTGGGAGCTTTAAAAGTTGCCAGATAGAGAAATCTCATAGGAGGCTTCAAAAGTACCCTATGGGAAATCTCAGTGAAAGTATGTACTGGCACGTGGCTTTGGCAGACACCAGAAGAAGCGATATTGGTAAGCATTTTTAAACACTTTATATATTTGCGTCTTCGACATGTGCGTTGAATAATTATAAATACGTTAATACTGTATATTCCTGCGTCTCCGACTTGTGGTGCGAACAAATGCAAAATACGCTGAGAAATCGTAGCTATATTCATGCGTCTTCGATCTGTGCTTTGACTAAATTAAATTTTAAATACTTTATATATTTGCGTCTTCGACATGTGCGTTGAATAATTATAAATACGTTAATACTGTATATTCCTGCGTCTCCGATTTGTGGTTCGAACAAATGCAAAATACGCTGAGGAATCGCATTTATATTCCTGCGTCTTCGATCTGTGCTTTGACTAAAGTAAATGTTAAATACTTTATATATCTGCGTCTTCGACCTATGCGCGGAATAATTATAAATACGTTAATACTTTATATCCCGGCGCCTTCGGAAATTGTTAAGATTTTTGTTAAGAATTATATTGCTCAAGATAAAATCTCTATATGATAATAAAATAAAGTATTGTAAGCTCTATTGTATTGAAATAATATCTAGACTTGTATATATAAACTCCATTTTTTATTTATGAAAATTGTTAAGATATTTTTTTTTAGAATTATATTGCTCAAGATAAAATCTCTTTATATGATAATAAAATAAAGTTTATTGTAAACTCTATTGTATTGAAATAATATCTAGACTTGTATATATAAACTCTATTTTTTATTTATGAAAAATTGTTAAGATACTTTTATTTTTAAGAATTATATTGCTCAAGATAAACTCTCTCTATATGATAATAAAATAAAGTTTATTGTAAACTCTATTGTATTGAACTAATATCCAGACTTGTATATATAAACTCTATTTTTTATTTATGAAGATTGTTAAGATTTTTTTGCTAAGAATTATATTGCTCAAGATAAAATCTCTATATGATAATAAAATAAAGTTTATTGTAAACTCTATTGTATTGAAATAATATCTAGACTTGTATATATAAATTCTATTTTTTATTTATGAAAATTGTTAAGATATTTTTGTTAAGAATTATATTGCTCAAGATAAAATCTCTATATCGTAATAAAAATAAAATTTATTGTAAACTCTAGTATACTGGAATAATATATGTAATACCAATAAAAGAGAAGTAGATATAAAAGTACTGTGGTTGTAAATAAAACAGAGGCTAGGGACGGGTGAATCAGACGAAGTTACGCGGGGAATCGGAGTCGAGTCTAAAAATATAAATGGTCTTGTAAGTACCCTGGACACCGTTGAACTATCCCAGCTATAGACTGCCCCACGTAAAGGGGTTCATTACAAACGTATAGAGCTTTTTGCACTACAAAACAAGAGAACTCAGATAAAGGTCTTAGATCTATTGTAAAGATTATCTGTAATCAACTGCTATTCGATTTAATGAATATGGAGAAAATGTCGTAATAGCTGCAATATATTGTTCACCCAACCACAATATAGAAGTCCAAGACTTCCAAAACTTTTTTAAAACACTCGTTTCTAAATTTCTAGTTGCAGGCGATTTTAATGCCAAGCACACATTCTGGGGTTCAAGACTAATAACACCAAGAGGACGAAAACTTTTAGCAGTTGAGAAAAGTGAAGATCTCGATGTCATTTTAACTGGACAGCCAACTTACTGGCTTTCTGATCGACAAAAATTCCCAGATCTTATTGACTTTGGTCTAAGCAAAAATATTAAACTATTAACAATCACCGCATTCCCATCAGTTGAATTATCATCAGACCACTCACCAACAATAATAACAGTACAATGTCAACACAATTGACATATAATACACATATAATACAGATAGACGTTTAACTTGGAACAAACACATAGAGGCTAAAAAGACACAAATAAATATAAAAGACTGCAATCTAAAACCCTAAGAATGATAACAGCTGCACAGTGGTTTATGAAAAATGCTGACTTTCATAGAGATTTGAGCGTGCCAACAGTAATAGAAGAAGCTACTCGATGTAGCCGTCAGCACCTTTTAAAATTAGAAGATCATCCTAACCAATCAGCTTGCATGCTGCTACTGATCAAAGGCCACAGACGTCTAAAAAAGAAGGGCACCATTAACATATGTTAACTTTCTAAATTTTTATTTGATTTAAAATATAAATTTTATTTAACTGAATTGAATGTGATTTTTTGAATTGATTTTAATTTTAGTTTTTTTTTTAATTTTAATTCTAATTTCAATTTTAATTTTAATTTTCAATCTTATCTTATTATCTTATTATAACTCAATGTCTCAATAGCAATGGCTTAGGGGGAAAAAAAGGTCCATTTAATATACGAATTGGCTCCACAACTACGAACAGTAAGAAAGAATTACGTCGTTATCTTTGGGATCAAGGCGTGTTTGTAGTAGTCCGGCACGAGAATATATATATATAAATTAATGAGATTAATAGTCCAGTTAAGTTTCAAAAAATATTTATTAAATGAATAGCATTTACATGTGACTACGTTCTAAAAGATCATAACTTAATATCACGCTTATTCTCTATTATTTTCTCTTACAAATGATTATGTGTTTTACATTTAACCCTACAAAGTGAGAGCGTGCGATAACATGTATATATATATATATATATATATATATATTATTCGTGTGTAAATTGAGATTGAATTAGTGAAATTTTTGTTTCAAAATTCTTGAGTTTTAGTTGGTATGTACCAGAAATTTTGTTTCGGATATACATATTTTATGTAGGTGTTTACTAAATGCGGTGTGGCCTGTTAGTGCACTACAATACCATTGATCAAGGGGCATGTTATGATTACAATCACATCACGGATATTGTTGTTGCATTCAATGCAAAATGAAATTAACTGCAAGTGTTAAATTTTCATTGAAAGTAATAACAATTGCCATTAAGTGACTGCAAGCATAACATTCCCTGCGGATAAATTGCAATCTGTACATATGTATATATGTACATGTATACAAATTATTTATTCAAAATATGATAAACAATTTTGAATATATATGATAAAATAAAAAAAAGATGCGTATAGCTAGAGAATATGGTTTATACGGCGTTTACATTGGTCGAAAATGGCTCATTTTGAATGAGCCATTTGAAAGTGTTTACATTCGTTCTATTTCATTTGTTCTCATTTCAACAGCTGATTTTTCAACTTGCATGTTGATTTGATTTTTCGCCTGTGCCAAAAAAATGTTGCATGAAGGTTAAATATGCCTTCAAACCTTTCATTAGAAACTTAAAACATATTTTTAACTTCGATTAATTACTTTTTGAGAAGTAAAAGTTCTAAAAAGCAGTGCATCGTTTTCAAGAAAATGCAACCACCAAACATTTGTTTACCTTTTTTTGTAAATATGTTAAAAACAGCTTTTTCAAACTGTCAAAATGCCATGAAGAGCTTTCATTTAGGGTATGTTCAATGGATTCCTTTGCATTTGGAACGTATGTGGAATGCATTCGAACGTCATTCATACAGAATGTGAGAAAATTGCTCATTTTTGTGCTTGAAATTTTATATGCAAGAATGAGCCATTCGATACTCATTTTCGATTTTTGACCAAAATGAGCCATTTTCGGCCAATGTAAATGCCGTATTAATTGATTTTATTTTGAAAATTGTTTTCTTTTTATGCAAAATTATCTTAAAACTAACTTGATAAATAACTCATAATAAGGGTAGAAATAAACTATTCTCTGTTATTATTTATTTTAGTGAACTGTATTATTTAATTTACATTTTATTGTTGTCCAAAAAAAGATTCAAAAAGGATACAATTTTTTTCTTAATTAGGAAATTTCGGCACTTAGGATTTTCTTTTTTATTGCCTTTTAAAATATTTTGATTATCATAATTAGATACTGTGCCTTGTGTTATAAATTATTTAAAAACGTTTACAATGTTTGCTATTTTAGTTTAGGATATATTTATAATTCTAGGGATTTAAGTGATAACAGACTTAATATAATAATATATTAATTTAATGACATCCTGCCAGCGTAATCATTAAGCAGAGGTGTTAATTCTGCATTATTTTTATATTAACATATTTTTAGGATTACAATGAAATAACTAGAATATGTCTAAAAATAATATGATCATTATTGAACATATTCTCAGTATTTTTAACCTTTATGTGCTCGGTAGTCTACATTTGTAGCATTTTGTGCGAAAAAGTCTTATAAAAACGAATTTTGCACAACGACAGGGTGCGAGATTTTTAGTAGTTTCCTAAAAATCAATTTTAAGTTAATTTTAAACTTAACAACATCAAAACAATAATATATTTAAGCCCTAGACCCAACTTTTCAAAATGATCACCTCCTGGCCGGTAGTCTACATTTGTAGTCACCATATAATTTATATGAATATTCATATTAAATATCTATGTAGCTCAATATTTTTTAGTTCCAACATGCAGAAACATGTTCCTTTGTAATTTATTTTATTCTCTGTTTACTTGTACATACTTCTGCTGCATATTTGTACTTATATGCATGATTTTATGGTTTAGATCGCAACAGTAGGAGGATTAGGAAGCGCAGTTCATACTGCTGTAATCAATTTTCTGCTTATGCTCAATCTGATTACAATGTAATGCTTTCGATCCGCTTTTGATTGGTTAATTTGGTAATGAAATAGTTTATTTGAAACATAGAGCAGTAAAATAAAATGAGAATATTGGAAAATATGATTGAACGTGCTTCAACTCGGCCACTATGAGTTGTTAAACAGTAAGTGTGTTTGCAGGTTTTCCTTTTTTTGGAAGTGGCTTATGAAAAAAGAATGGCGACAATATATTGACAAATTACTGAGCGAGATTGATGAGGAGGAAGAGGAGCACTAGTTTTTAGCGATGAATGGTTTGATGATCATGTACCACTTGACCATCATACAAGTTCCAGCTCAAGCAATGTTTATGTTGGTGCTGTAAGTGTTGCGATTGGTTTCTATTCTAAAGAATCTGACGCCGAAAATGAAATGATACTTGGTGAAAAAGGTGATTCAGAAATATGAGCAAGAATAAGGTATATTATTCGAAATAAATTTTGATTATGTGATGAATGTCAAAGAGACCTCGGTCGTTATGCAGCATCTTGATACATTTGTGTCAAGAGATAATACTGTCTGGTTCAAAACTATACCTAATCAAGTAGGTCGCACTACTGCTCACAATGTGTTTCATGACACTACTGTTGGTCCAATTCGAGCGACTAAAGGTCTAATTTTGTACACCGTATTCGATACTTGAATAAATTTTGAGATGAACAAACTAAAAAGCCAGGAAAACTACGCGAAATATTTGCAGTTGGTGCATAAAAACCAGTGTGTGACGTACAAACAGTCACATATTCTTTGGGTGAATGTTGTTCCTCAAAAGCTACTTAAAATCTTTTTTACCCAAATTTTGTATAATAATTTTCATAATAAATATGTACAATTGTCTGTAAAAGTAAAATAATCTGTCTAAAAGTGTTTTTTTAATATGTTGGTCTAGATTTCTTCATAACATACGTGCTTGCTACAAATGTAGACTTCCGACCGGCAACGTAGGAAAAATATCCCGAGCACATAAAGGTTAATAAGGCAGAATGGCTTGATATAAAATAAAATGTAAAATTTAAAATTTAACATATAGGGTGTTCACGGGGCACCGGTTATCGGGTTTTGTGCGTATGTGCTTATATGAGCAACAACAAAATGCACTGAATAAAAATAACCAACTTTACACAACCCCTGCCTATGTGCACAAATTATGTGGTTATGTGATTATTTGCAGTGTTGAAAAATAATATAAAATTTAAGCAAATGGCATCACAAAAAAGATTAATTTCACCAAATGGCACCACGAATTTTGAATTTCAAATTGGCATCACTAACATTTGAAGCTAGTTTCGTTTGTAAACAAACATTTAAATTTTGCAAAAGTAAGTTAAAATGATCTATACTAAATAAAAATATACAAATGACTTATTTATTTCCAATTTTCAGTGTCTAACGAAATCCGGAAACGTAAACGGGAAAATGAAGTAAAGAAATGGACGGAGCAAGAAATAAAAACAGTACTAAGCTATATGCAAGAGCACAGGAACATAGAGGTAATTTGTATTTTGAATTGTATTTTTGTTACTTTGGGTTATAACTTTTGTTTTTATAAATATATTTAATGAGAGAAACCAACAGCCCAGCTATATTACAAAAAATTGTTGGCAGAAACAAACATCAATGCAAATTGGAACATATTAATATGCAAAGTTCGCCATCTGAGGAGTACTTTCCAAAAAGCAGACGCATGGATTGATTCAACAGGCGCTGGAGTTGAGGATGATGACAATACAACTACTGTAAAAGGTAAAAAATTAGAGTTAGAACAAAAAGAAAGAATTAAAAAATATAAAATTGACGTGAAATATAAAAATAAATAATAAAACAGACTTATTAAAAAAATTTAAAAATGTGTACTTTTATTCAAACATCATATTATACAGTGTTTATCTTTTTAGCTCAGGTGTAGGTGTAGCAATAGTATTGCTATCATACTGCGTTTCACACCTTTCGCTATTCTCACTTTCAAATTGTGAAAAATTGCGGTCTTTCAACAAAATATTATGCAACACACAACAAACGAGAATCCAAGAATTGAAAAATTTTTGGCTTTTCTTGTCTTTTATTTTAGTTCTCATTTGTTTTAAACTGCAAAACTTTTCTTTAAGGATTCCGAAACAATTTTCAACTCTAACGCGATATTGGCTGTTTCTTTTATTGAATTTGTTTTGTTGTTCAATATTCATTAAAGAAGAATTGGTGCGATATGGCGTTATCAAATGTTTAGTCAACTGGTACGCAGAGTCGCCTGCAAACCATTCTTCTCCAGTAAATAAGCACGCGCTGTTTGTTGCAATATGCGATTTCTTAAATATTTTAGAATCATGGTAGCTTCCCGGATTACCCACTAATGCGTGCATGATGCGGAGCTTATGATCACATACAACTTGCAATTTAATAGAATATATTCGTTGACGAGAAAAGTATGCCTCATGGTTATTGCTAGGTTTTTCGGCCAGCTTTATCTCACTTCCATCAATATAACCAATACAGAATGGTAACTCACTGAACGTATGAGCAATAAGTTGCCTACGCTCAGTCGCATTAGGCCATTGAATGTATACCGGTAATTTCTTCAAAATTGCTGAAAATACTCTCTGGGTAATTGTAGTCAGAGTGCCACCATCTCTCGGTCCAAAAATTGTCGCGATTTTTCGCACTGATGTACTTTCTCCTGAAGAGCCTAAACGGAATAGTACTATCGCGAGTTGAAAATCCACGGGCAGTTGTATATTGGATCCTGGACCTTTGAATATTATATCATTTGCAAATATTTCAACAAGACGAGCAAATTGACTCTTGTTGACACGTAACATTTGCAAAAATCGTCCTTCGTCGAAACAACATAAAATATTATCTCGCCAATGAATGGATTTTGGCACACTTAGTTCATCCCCTCGTCGATAAAATGTGATTGTTCTTACATCTTCCAGTAGTTCATCCATTCTTTCATCAATGAGAGCGTACCATTGATCGAAGTGTGCTGTGTCTATAAATGGAAAAACTTTGATTTTTGCAACTATGAAGCTTTAAAACACATACCTTCGTTAAATTCAAGATCTTTAATAGCTGCATTTATTTTGAAGTCTATAATTTGATTTTCTATACTCTTTTTAGGCATTTTGTCTTGATTTTGAAATTTAAATTTCTTTGTACTTACGACAAAAACAAAGAACAACTGGTTGTATAAAAATAACCAGATAACCTACATAAATATCTGTTCACGGTGCACACAGGTTCTTTTTCATTTTATCATCACATAACCCGATAACCAGTGCCCCGTGAACACCCTAATAGTCAATATTTCAATTCATTTATAAAATAAAACATGTTAACTTTTCAACAAATTTGATCAATCAAGTGTAAGGTGTATACATCATATTATTAACTTTATTTAGAAATGCAGCACTGTGGTCAGCTCTCATTTTGAAAATTTTTAAACGGTTTACAGTTTACGATTTTTAGTTTGTTGCGCTATTTTCAGTATTCTGTAGCGATCGTTTAATATTGCTTTAAAAGTGCAATTTTAGGTTTTAATATATTTTGTGTTGTAGTAAATATTGTAAACTTAAACTGTATACAGTGGTGAATATTGATTTCAAGTAAAGGAGCAACGTGCTGTGTGATCAAAGTAATGGCATCCAAAATTGATGAAAAAAATAATGACATTCCAGAGCGTCTTTACGATTCCAGCAGCCGTACCACATATACTCGTAAACGATTTTTTGGCAAGGTAATTTTTCCTGCAAAAAAGGAATTGTGAATATGTATATTGCAGTTCATTAACAGATATATACACAACCATTATAAAAAAAATGGTCCTTTTATATATTCCTTATTTAATTTTATATTTCAGGGCGGGTTTGCTAAATGTTATGAAATAATTGATGTTGAAAGTAATGATGTTTATGCAGGCAAAATAGTTTCAAAAAAACTCATGATGAAGCATAACCAAAAAGAAAAAATGACGCAGGAAATAACAATACATCGAAGCCTTAACCATAATAATATCGTGAAATTTCACGGATATTTTGAAGATAGCTATAATATTTATATAGTTTTAGAATTATGCAAAAAAAGGGTATTTGAAATTATTTAAACAACTGCAATAAAATGTGTGCTAATGTAGCCTTTATATACAATATGTTTTCAGTCAATGATGGAACTTCATAAGCGTAGAAAAACTATTACAGAATATGAGTGCCGGTACTATATATATCAAATAATACAAGGAGTGAAATATTTACATGAAAACCGAATCATCCATCGCGATTTGAAACTTGGTAACTTGTTTCTAGATGATCTTCTACATGTTAAAATTGGCGATTTTGGTTTAGCAACACGAATTGAATATGAAGGTGAGCGTAAAAAAACGCTGTGCGGCACACCAAATTATATTGCACCTGAAATACTGACAAAAAAAGGCCATTCTTTTGAAGTTGATATTTGGTCTATTGGATGTGTTATGTATACATTGCTTGTTGGTCAGCCACCCTTTGAAACAAAAACGTTAAAAGATACTTATTCCAAAATAAAAAAATGTGAATATAGGTAATTAAATGTAGTAATCTATTTGAAAAGTATTAATAATTGGTATACAGAGTTCCAAGTTATTTGCGGAAATCTGCAGCTGATATGGTGATTGCAATGCTTCAATCCAACCCCGATAATCGTCCTTGTATTACTGATTTATTACGTTTCGAATTTCTGAGCAGTTCTCCAGTGCCAATGTCATTGCCTAGTTCATGCCTCACCATGGCTCCACGTCTTGGAGCAAATGAAATTATTGATACAGAATCAATGCAACGCAAACCATTGATTGAATCAAACCGATTACGCGATGAAACACGTTTAGAATCGACATTTTTAAAAAAAAATTTGCATGATGCTATAACTGCATCTGCACAAGTTTGTCGTCATAGTGAAGATTATCGAAGTGACGTCGAAAGCTTATATCAACAATTAACCAATTTAATAAACGCTAAGGTAATTTATAAAATATTTTAAATAAATTGGTACTAGTTTTTATGTATTTAATAAAAAGCCAATTCTTTTGGATGGAAATTTGGGAGACGAAAATACTGATCCTGCTGCTCAACCCTTATTTTGGATATCGAAATGGGTTGATTATAGCGATAAATATGGTTTCGGATATCAGCTTTGTGATGAAGGAATTGGAGTTATGTTTAACGATACTACTAAACTTATTTTATTACCTAATCAAATGTAAGTATTAATTAACCTTTAATGTGTAAAACAATATATTTTAGATAAGATATAAATTAGTTTTCACTTTTACAAGATACATTTATATTTATATTTTATATTTTTTTAAATATACGTCCTGAAATCATTTATATTTTAATGTGCAACTTAGTCTTTTTTTTTTTTTGCACATATAATGTATTGTTGAAAATATGTTTTCCGAAAGCAATCACTTTGTCCTTTCATGCACTTTCAAAGAGAATTGTATCCAAAAAATTAATTATAGAGTGTCGTAACCTAATCTTTTTCCACCAATTTGGATTTCACTGCAAACACTATACTATAGATCATGTACACAAAATTAAAACATATTTCTTACCCAATGATACTTGAAGAATAAAACTCAATTATGTGATTTTTATTACCCACAAACGGTACTAGGCACGTAAAACCCCGTATGCTAATACTGCAAAATATCTTGGCTTTTAACTCTTAGTAATAAGCATAGACAGAAAAATCACATAGAAACAAAGTTAAATTAACTTAAAATTATAAAAACTTTAAAACAAAGATCAAAACTTTTCATATATATTATACAATTGAACTCTAAAGCTAATATGCTCTTATGGTGCACAAATTTAGGGTTGTGCCACCTAAAGGAACCAGTTATAATTAAATATACAAAGGATTATATAATTTTTACTAGTCCTTATAATTGGTACCGGTCGTCATAAGTGATAATATAATTTAAATAAATAAAAATAGAAATATAAAAGTATGTATGTTTTATAAATAATTTACATTTACATATTAGATACAAAAAATCCTCGTGTTTTGCAAATGCTTTTTAGTTAACATTGGTTTTTTGTCTGGTACGTCTGCGTACAGTACTGGAATCCACGCCTTGTTTAAGCTCGTCTACGATCTTTAAGAGGGGCTTCACCCAAATAAACCGTTTTAACGGAATATGTCAAGTTATATTTTCTTATAAGCCGCGAAACAATTAAATAATTAATTTTAAATATTTTGGCTATTTTATTTGAACACATCCTTTTAAAGATTTTTTAATTCTTGCTTCTTTAAGATTCAAATTAAGCGTGTTGCGAGCAATGAGAAAAACATCCATTAATGATTTAATATTGAGCTATTCTGTGTTTACGTTTGAATTTGCTTAAAAACATAAAATACAGCATCAAAATGCAAAAAACCAAAATAATATCTTGTTAGATTGCACTTTGGTCATAGATCTTGACATTGATCTTGTCTCAGTTGCTATTGTGTTGCACAGCTGCATATCGCAATATTTCGTTATGTTTGTGAATTATTAAACCCGTTATGAAGAATTGTAGTTTTTGTTGTTTTTTTATGGTAGCTAATACTATAACAAATAAAACTGTGTTTTAATTTTTAAATGAAAAATAAAAAAGATAAAAAACTTATTTATTTGAGGTGATCATTTTGGTTGCTTTTGTTTTGTACAACACTGTAAGTTATTCACATAAATCATTTTGGAATTCGTATGAAATTCCAAACTAGAAATAAACATTATATTGTGGTGGCTATCTCGATTATTGTTGCATTTATGATAGATTTGTATGCCGCCACAGTTTGTAGTTGTTTTCGTATACCATACAATTTTCTCCACTAATTCAACTTCTATTTGTTACTGTAGATGCATGTTCCCAGTGTACCTACAGTGGCTCACAGCTTATTTCGTGCAAGCAATATTTTTGTAGATTTAGTCGTGAAAATCCAAAATTTTGTCTAAAATAAAAAATTTTAAATATGCAACTTTAAAGAATGTTTAGTTATTATTAAAAAACAAACAAAAAATTTAGCAAAAATATCAATATTCAAGGAGTTAAGTGAACAAAAACAAACATACACCAAATTCTGACCTCACAGCTTATTTCGTGCAATACATTTTTTTTAGAAAATTAATAATTTTTGGCATAAAAAAGTGAATTTTAGTATTTAGTGGGATAGTCCTTTTGTTTAATTACTGCCTCCAACCTTGAACGCATTGAAATAACTAATTTTTGAGTATATTCCACTGATATTTTTTGCCATTCCAATTTTAAAGCAGCTTTCATACTTTCCTTGCTATAAATGTTATGTTTTTTTATGTTAATTTCCAGAATATGTCATAAATTTGCTAAGACACTAAAGTCAGGTGATTGGGGAGGTGTTTGGATGATGTGTGGACAATTCCCAACAAGCCAAGTCTGCACAAGACCCGACTTGTGCTTCAGATCGTTATCCTGGTAAAAACAGAAATTGTTAATTATGCCTAAATATTCGGCACTTTTATGCAAATTTTGCTTTAATATATTAAGATACACTTCTTTATCCATTGTTGATTCTATAAATTGTAGATTACCTACTCCTGCCGCTGATTTACACCCCAATACTCTCACATGCACATTAATACATCAAAATGAAAAATTTTGAAATTTTTAAGTTCACTAAACTATTTTTTTAAGATTATTAGGAAATTTTCAAGAAACTCGTTGTTGGAATGGTGTATACTACTTCATCAATGTAGTAATGACTACTTCATCAACAGAGCACAGTCGTTTAACTAATTATTGTGTTTTGCGCGTAATTTTTAACCGATGTTGCTCATCAATATCTTATTAAAAAGATATTTAAAAGATCTACCAAATACTTGTTGAAATAAGTAACAAAGATATTAAATGACCTTGAATTGAAAAATTTCTATTTTTGGTACTGAAAACCCAACTTCGCTCAAGTGGCGCCGTTTGATTTTTAATCCTATTGGTACAAAACTTTAGGAGTATCTTTTTTTTTGGTCCATGGGAAAATCCCTGGGGGGTGCGCTCATTCAAAACTTAATTTTTAATTTTCCCCCTTGTAACGTGAGCCACCCTATTGCAGCACCTTCTTGTAAGTAGCGCATGAGGTCTCATGAGCCTCAGCTCCGCACTCTTGTTCACGAGCATAAGCTCATGTATAACTTAATAGCAGTTCTTGCTCACGAGCGTGAGCTCAGCAATTGTGTTCGCTCGTGAGCGTGAGTCATAGTATGAAAAATGCTTTTTACCGGCTTATAAGCCGTGAGCTAAATGAGTCGATAATATCTGCTACCTGTGTCGTTGTGACAGAGTGCTTAATAAATCATTTTCTAAACTCTGATACGACTTTTGACATTTGTTTGACTATGTAATCGTGTCTTCTTTTCTTCAGAATTTATAAAAATCAAAAAAATGTTTTGCATTTTCAATAAAATCAAATTAAAAATTAAAAACAAAATTTCTTGTGCAAACTCGATCAAATTGTTACAAAGCGTCTATGGCGGTTCATGTATGTCTAAACTAATGAGTGGTATAAAAAGGGTCGATCATAAATGTCGCCCATTCAAATCAATTACCGAAGAAAATAGCGAGTTGCTAAAGAAAATAGTGAAAAAGTTGGAAAATCATGTGTGATTGTGCGAAAAGTAGCAGAGCACTTAAACATCTCGAAAGACATTACAACATCTGTGAAAAACATTAAATACTGAAAAGTTATAAAAATCATAGTTTTACATATTTTTGTTGTACATTAATTATATAATATACAGTTTTTGTCCAATCTACAAATAGATTTGAAGTGTTCTATTTACCAGTGAAGTGTTCAGCGATTGCAGTGACTGATTGGCAGACACATTTCCTCCTTTTATAATTATAGATCATTTGCCGTTGTAATATCACATTTGCTGAGTACCACTATAGGAAAACTGGATCCATACAGCCGATTTTATGAGTTCAACAGATTTTTATTCTTACTGAAGAACATTCTGACACACTGTTGCTTTCATATTATAATTATTGTTAGGGGATGTGGCACAGCGACCGTCGGGTCTATTGTGCCCCCTTCTGGGTTTAGAGTAGGTCTCTAAACATACTTTTTAAAAAAAAAGACTAACCTACTAACTACTAAATCCCACAAATACTTTTATGTTTGTGTGACTGGAGGATCTGTACTATAAAAGTTTCTGAAGCAATTGCTTTTTATAGTAGCGTATTTTTATCTAATATTTTTTTCCACCCGTCACATGCAACAACAAATTCTGCAATTACTTATCGTTTCAAAATTATTATCGATGTATTTTTTGTCTTTTTATTAAAGTATTTATTTTTATTTTCCGGAAATTTTATTGGAATTTTTTATTTATTTCTCGTTGTATATATCCAGCATGTCAAAAACTTGTTTACACATTCAAAAAAAAATTAAATTTTTCAACTTATCAATCAAAAAAATACAACTTTTTGTTTGAACTCATGTGTTTTTTATTTTAAATATTTGTTCATTAGTATATTAAAAATATATATAAAAAAATTCACAAAATGATCGAAAAAACAACAAAATTTAATACATAAAACTATTGCATATCATAAGAAATTTTTAGTATTTAGTATGACCACCTTTTGTAGTACCAGATATTGTATCTATATTTTTTTGCTTACATAAATACTGACAATCTCAATATTTTCAAATTTTTTTATTATTATATTCAATAATTTTGAAATGTATTAGCAATAATTTATAGTTTTGTTTTTTAAGAATTTTAACTTTTATTTCGAGGTATATTAGGAATTCTTCTGATGAAGGAACAAGCGAATTTGACAAAATAAAATAAAATTCTTATAAAAACAAAACCTACTTTAAAATAGTTTCAACGTAACAACTCAAAAATAAAAACAAAATTACATTAATGATATATTGGTTTATATTTAGAAAAAATATATTTATTAATTACTGTTTAATTTATTATTATATAAAACTTGCATTTTTATAGTTTATTATAAAAATAAACTCAAGTTTTTAAACCTCTCTAAAAAGTCTCTACCGCTCGTATTAAAGTGTGCGAGAGCACACACATGTGTTTGATCACTTTTTACTTTAAAATTTTTACTTTCAGCAAATGCACATGATGTTCTTGCCCCCTTTCACTATTCCACTCGCGAGCCAAAAAAATCTCCATCCCTATAATAAATTGAATAACATCCACAAGCTCATATCGAGTATGATACAGCTTGAAAAGAAGTTTTTAATAAGTTAAAACGTGTTAGTTGAGTTTTTATTTTGCATTTGAATAAATTTAACTTTAACTTGCATTTGAATAAAGTTGTTATAGAGAGGTTTTTTGTATGGAAAGATCTGTTTACGTACCTGAAAAAACTTTGTTATAAACTGCAATTCACTATAGGGAGATTAAAATATAGGAAAAAAAAAAATCGATCAAGGGATTTTCGATATAAAGACGTTTGACTGCAATTAAATTAACCAAAAAAAGAACATTATCAAATGTAATTTTAATGTCAAAAACTAAGGCTTTAGCTAACATCGCTAAAATGGTCAAATGTACAACACATTATAAAGTATTCGAAAATACTTTTCAATAATTTGCTTAATTTTTTATTAAATTTTATTTTATAATTTATTAAATTTTATACTATGTTGCGCTACATTACATCAATCTCGCATTACGCAATTTATTTGATTTATGTATTGAATATAAACTGTGCCTATATGAAGCTCCGATAAACAAACAGTGATTTCAAGCAGCTTTATTCAATCGTTAGAAGAGCTTAGACAGCAATGTGCGTCAACGAAGGATAGTCTTACCAGAATCAAACATGTAATTAAGCCATCTTCGAATTTGTTGTCTACAGAATGCAGACTAGGTATGGTGAAATCTTTTTATAAATAAGAATGATTCCATCTTATTTGTCGAACTATCGAATTGAACGGAAGTTACCATATATGTTAACATATATGTTGCTCGGAAATCAACGAATTTGTATGTCATTGAAAAATTCTGAATCTTTCTAGCATTAAAATTGATTTACACTCATGACCACACCTTCATAATACCGCAAATGTAGTATTATCATTATCCAAATTTACGTCTTCCATAGCAATCAATTTATACCTGCGATTTAAAAGTTTAAACATTGCTTTTGTGCTTATTTGGTGATATTTTATCTACTGTGACATCATTTCAAGTAACTGAAGAAAATGATCTAAAAGCACTGAAGCAATACAATAACGATACACTTATTTTTGTAGAAAATATTTTATCGATATTTAAAGTAAAGAAAATTCATAAAGCTGATTCAAAACTACTGCGACATATTTGTGGTCGCAGAATTTATTTAGGAAAATTCGTGATGCTAACATCATATATATTGCTGTTACAAAGACTGATCCAGAAACTAAAAGATGAAGTGAGACGAATATTTAAATTATTTAAATCGACCATCTTCATTGAGGATTGAATCAATGTAAAATGCTACAAAGCCCAGACAATTCTCATTTGTTATCAAACCTAATTCTGATGTAGTATACAATCATTGCTTGAAATCAGGTGATTATATTACTACTTGTAACAATATTATATCTCTTCAAGTAAAACAACTTCATGATCAAGTTACACAGAACTATCTTTGTTTCAATTGCCTTGTCAAACGCCACGGCTGACCATAAAGTAGTTCAAAATATTCTTGCCAGTTCTGTAAACGATGTTGTTATACATGGCTCCATAAACATGACATGAATACCTTTGTATATTCAAATGTTTCGTTAAATGTTACTCAATGTTACTACTAACTTCGTAACGCATACTATTCCATAAAAGGTTGCTAAACAAACAACTTTAATTTTTGTAAAAGATGTTATCAAAACTTAGTACGTGCCGCGCACTATTAAATACATGTAACCAAGTAAAAAGAACATCGCTGGTATTAGACCATATCTACTGAAAATACGTTATCAAACGCAATTTATTCACGTCTAAATACTTTTGAAACACGCTGTAAATTCTAAATTCCAGGAACATTTATTAGTTATCACCCAGATAAATCTCTATCATTGAAAGAACTAAATATTCCATTATATATGGAATTTGCAGATCCAGTATTAAATATCCCAAAAATAATTGATGTGGTACTTAAAGTTTTTTTTTTAACTTTTGGCACAGGGTCAAATGTTTTTGGGTAGAAATTTGCCAATATTGCAATACACTAAACTCGGTTGGATTGGATAAAGTAATCGAACTAATCAGTCACTGCGCAATAACATCGATTCAGACTTTAAAGAAGAATATAGGAAAAATTTTGCAATTAGGTGTCTTCAATAGACGTCAAATAAACAGAGAAGCAAACATTGTTCGATCACAATTTTATTAATAATGTATCTCTAGATTTTAATTGAACAATTACAATGAATTATTATGCAAAGAAATTATATATTATAAATTAAGAAACTGTGGAGATATTGTATTGCGTCGATTTTATATTTTAGAATAAAATCTAAAATACTTAACCGAAGAAAGGTAATTCGAATTTCTTAGAAACAAAGAAAACAATCAAAGAAAATTTTTACGTCGATGACTTAATAACAGACTTTTACGATCTCCAACGTTCTCAGCAGATTAAAACTGAAGTTACTTCAATATTTTCAAATATCACTAACTAAATCATCCCGAATTTAATTGTTTCACGTAGTGCGCAATCACAACCAATAGCAACTGTACTAGCGTTTTTGGTGTAATATATTAATTAATTTTCCTTCCCTTACACTATTATATGGTGTCGAATAAACTCATAATATTATATTTAAAATAAAAAACAGAACCAACACAATTTATATATATTATATATAATATATATAAATATATAATATATATATATAATATATATATTATAGTGAAATATTATTATATATATATATATCGATAATATATAATATATAATATGTATAATAAAATATGTAATATGTATTATAAAACATGTAATATGTATAGTAAAATATGTAATATGTATAATATAATATATAATATCTATAATATAATATATAATATCTATAATATAATATGTATAATAAAATATATAATATGTATAATATAATATATATAATGTAATATGTAATATATAATATATATAATGTAATATGTAATATATAATATATATAATGTAATATGTAATATATATAATATAATATATATAATATGTATAATATAATATATATAATATAATATATATAATATAATATATATAATATAATATATATAATATAATATATATAATACTAATATATGTATATAATATATATATATAATATTTAAACTATATAATATTATACTATATATATATATATATAATAAATATATTTATATATATAATATATATATAAATATATTATAATATCATATATATAGTGAAACTAAAATATTGCGTCCTCATTATTTTGGTTGATGACAGCACATTATTCTGCATTCTACATTCAACAACAAAATCTCTCTAATGTAAGAGAATAAGGCTTCTTCTTTAACTGCCTTATTCTGTTCATTTTCATCTGTATATATACCAACAATCGTTTTGGTGTCTTTTTCTAGAGCCGGTAAACACATTCATTTTACAAGAGTTTTGGCGAAATGAGCCTCCATATCTATAGTCCAGTTTTCCATAAAAACCGATTTTAGATACCTATAATTTTTTTCTTATTATTTAAGTGAGAGGTTATATAGAAAAGGTACTCACACTCACTAGCTCATCGGCGTACTCGTTTCCCGATATATGTGAACACCAGGGGCAGGGGCTGTAACAGTTATCATAAAAAAAAAATAAAAATCACCTTATAACTCTTATCATTCGCATTTTAAAATAAAGATTAAAAAATAATAATTAAATTTGATTAAAAATAATTATTATCATGTGCCTTTTATTTTTTCAAGCAGAAATAACTTAATTAAAATTCTGTTTTTTATTTTAAATAACTGTTATTTTTGCCTTTTATATAAAAAAATCATATAAAATATATGAATATATACGTACATACAAATTTTTAAAATGCAACAAATTCAAATTACAAAATCAACCAAAGAACATTATGTACACACGCATGTACAAATATTAATATTTTACATTTACTCTTATTGCAAACACACTTTACAACTATACAAATGTTAATTTACACACAAATGAACACACGCGTGTACAAACTAACGTAAAGAAACAAAAAAAACCCTTTCCGTATTAACATACAAGCAATTTATATTCTTTTCTGTCTAGAGTACCGCATTGTCTTGCTGAGCGCGTGTATTCGTTTCCGCAGGTACAAACTTACTCGCTTTCCAGAATACTCACTTAAAATGGAATGAACGATTCCACTAATCTCAAGTATGGAAATTGATTTCCGTGCAAACCTCCGCTTATACTTATGATTATACTTATATTTCTGCTCTCATACGTGGCGCTTTCAACTTATAAACAGAAACAGAAGCAAAAATAAAAACTATAGAAGGGCATAGTGGTTTTAAATCTCTATTTTAAAATATAATATAGTATTTTTTTGAAATTTATTTAATGATTTTTACTAACTTATCTGTTTTATTTAAGCACAAATTCAAAAAGATTAAAAAAGTAATACATGAGTTTTTGATTACAATGGTTTTTGTTTAATATGGTTTGAGTTTATAAGTTACATACCTGTATATATTGTGTTTTTTTATTTATATAAATTTAAAATTGCTTTCAGAAATGTACATTTTATTGATAAAGACGGTAAGGAGTCCTATATGACAACGGTTGATTATTGCAAAACTCTTGATAAGAAAATGAAACTACTTTCATATTTTAAACGTTATATGACCGAACACTTGGTGAAGGCTGGAGCTAACAATGTCAATTTAGAAAGTGATCAAATATCTCGCATGCCACATTTACATTCATGGTTTAGAACAACTTGCGCTGTAGTTATGCATCTAACAAATGGATCAGTTCAGGTTTTTAACAAAGCAAATAATAATAAAAACAAATATTAATTATTTTTATTTTCAGTTAAATTTTTCTGATCATATGAAAATAATACTGTGTCCAAGAATGAGTGCCGTAACCTATATGGATCAGGAAAAAAACTTTCGGACTTATCGATTTTCAACAATACTTCAACATGGCTGTTCTAAAGATTTATATCAAAAAATTCGTTACGGCCACGAAAAAATTAGTAAAATGTTAGAAAAAATGTTTTTTTAATATCTATACTTTCAAATGATCGAAAAATTACTATATCATGATTAATTATAATTACTGCTCCGAAACCTTTTCAAAGTTGTTACAATCGTATCTTTTATTATATTTTAAAAACATGTTTAATTTTTTTTAACATTTTTTGCTTTATGTTTTTATATTCTCGTATTATATACTTTTCGAATACAAAATATAATAAATTTTAATGAAATAAAAATTCGTAAATATAGGAAATACATTATCCCAGTAGAAACTGTGCGAAACACATTTTTTTGAAGTAAAATAAATAATTAATTTGAGTTAACAAAATGTTCGACAATATTAAAGTAAACTCTTAATCATATATTGAAATATATTCTGCTCAAAAAGTATCCGGATTTTGTTGTTTGTTAACTACTCCTTACTCCTTTGTTATGTTGGTACACCCTTTCTTGACGTATGGTACAAATTTGAGCGCCATCCGTCAATTAGTTTGTTTACAGCAGCTGTTAATGTGAGACTACCTCAAGTGCATTTAGCGATTTTTATTATGGAAAATTCTTGTACGCGATTTTTTGACCAAACACGGCACGACTGTCGTCTCTCAGGCACCATATTCGCGAGATCTGAATCCGTACGACTTTTTCCTGTTGCCGAAACTCAAATTGCCCCTCCGTGGTAAGCGTTTTGAGTCGATTGAATCGGTAAAAGAGAATTCGCTGTATGGAAGATTGGGTTAAGCGTTGGCATGTGTGTATCGCTTCAAAAGGAGCATATTTTGAAGGAGACAAAATAAATTTGGAATAAAATTTAAATTTGTGTGTTTTATTAACAAAATTCAAGTACTTTTTTTACTTATTAATTCCTTATTTATTATTTATTAATTACTTATTTAATTCCTTGCTATATTATACTACGTTGGTTAAACTGTATTTTGATAGTGATGTCACCAATCTGTATGTTACTCTGGGTGCTAGATAAGAAATCCAAACCCAATACTAGGTTATTAGCCATACTTAGCAATACCAGTATTCGAATTTCTTGTATTTTTTCTATGCTAACTATGGCTATTGCTTCTTCTGTTACTTTTTGCTTCGTTTCATCTGCTAAGATGAGGTTTCTACGGTAGTGTTTTCTCCTTGCTTGAATTCTTGTCAATAGTGCGGGCTCTATGAAGCTCCTGGCCGCATCTGTGTGTATAGCAGCAGATACCATTGAGTGTGAGGTATTCTTCGTGGTTTCTCTTGTGTTTTCTTGGCATGCGCTACGGTCTGCTTAAGTGAAGCGACGTGATCTTAGTCCGTTTCCCTGGGTATTTGGTTTTCGACAGCATTCTATTGTCTGTACATCGTTTTTGCCACAATGCCAATAGAACAAAACCTGTGGGTTACGATACCCCTTTGCTATGTGTCCTGTCCAGTTGTGCTGCTGCGTAGTTTAGGTATTTCATCAAATGTTGCATCTGTAGAACATATGTTTTGACGTCTTCCTCACTTTGCTGGTATTTCTGCCGGATTTCATCATCGAGCTGTTCCAAGTAGCGACGTAGTAGGAAAAATTTCAATAGATCCTATTTGAAGTTATTCCAAGTAATCCAATCTCATCTGTTATGTCGATACGATACCAAAACTTCGTCTTTCAATAATTCCGGCATAGTTCTTGGCAGCATACTTAATTGAATGTTATATAAGTCTGCGAGTTCCTCCAATCGTTCGATAAAGACAATGGGATCTGCTTCTCCGCTGATTTAGGCAACGACGCACTTCCTCTGGATTCTTCTATTGGCGTCTTTGCTTGAATCAGCGGTTCTTGAAAGGTTTTCTTGCTGATCACCTCTTCGAAGATGACTTTTTCATGCTTCTGTGATAAGCTTGTCAGCCGAGAAGTCACCTGCGGTGAATGCTCATTCCAACGAACACTGACAATTGTTTGCTGAGTTCCTCTACCGTTCCTGTTGAATTTGACGACAACAGCAACATCGCCACAATAAAATGAAGTTACTAAATGTTTATAATATTAAATTATTATAAATAAGTAATTATATTTTGAATATAAAATTTTTATTAATAACACCACTCATTTTCTGTTGAGTGCAGTTGTTTTTTTTTTGCCAACGCACAAGTGAATGCATTAAACACGCAGCAATACAATCACAGCAACAACAGAAAACCCCATGCGCAAGCAAATGCACAGAGAACAGAACAAAACTACTACAACAACAAAATTAACGCACAAACGAATGCATGGAGCAAGCACATAGCAACGCTATTCACAGACAACAGGATGATATTGTAGACAATTACAAAGTAAAGAGAAGTCACACACCGTATAAATAACAACAATAATAGGAATCCCGTTAGAAAAAAAGGGCATAAAAGGAGACGGAAAATTGAACAAGAGATCATTTGGTTGCAGCACTTAAAACACTGCGCATGGACACTTGGTCGCAGGACCAAGGCTTCGTTTCTTTCACAGGTAATGCTGATTCCAAGCAACGTAGCCCACTTTTTAAAGTTTATTCGCAACCTACCAGCGCTTTCCAGTCGGTAACGCTGATTCCAGTCGGTAACGTTGATTCCCAGTCTACCAATCTGGCTCAGTCGGCAACATTGCATACTCTTCCTAACACTAATCAGGTTTTCCTGTTTCAAGAATTATAATTGTGCCTATTCTGAATCGCATGGGAATGCAAGTTTTGTTCCCTATTCCCAATTTTCCTATTCTGAATCATATGGAAATGGGAGTTTTTTTTCCCAATATTACAATTTTATTGAAATATATTCGAAAAACTTATTAACCTGTGTGAATAAAATAAAAAAATAAAAATTTGAAAATATTACATTTATTATAATAATTTTATTATAATAATAATTTTAGAAGTAAGTATTAGTGTTGCTGAAAAAGCTATGCTTTTTTATATGGTGACAAAGAAGCTATATTCAAATTTAGAGAGTTTTCGAATAGCAAAGACAGCAAGAAACGACAAACAAAAACATTTATTTAATTTGTGACAAAAAACCTGGAACTAGAGCACTGAAAGTTTTGTGCAGCCTTGGCTTCTTGTGGATAAACACGATTAGTCATCGATTTTAATTTGACAGGCACAAGTTCTAAGCCTGACACTTGCAGTCCAAACAAATTATATACAGACTATAAACTAATTAAAAAATTCGATTATTTCCTAAGACTGATGAGTACTTGGCAATACTCGAAACAGCGTTGTATGGTCAGCCAAATTTAAATAAAAATTAAATAAATTTTTGTGTTTGTCCTTTCTTTCTTTGCTATTCGAAAACCCTCTAAATAATAATTTTATAAAAATATATTCAAAAATCTCATCACTATAAGTTACTTACATATTGAATTAAACCATTTTTAATACTTTTTTAACTTGTCTCCCAAACAATTTGCTTGGGAAAGATTTTGTGGAAAATTGGAAAAAAAATTCCCATTCTCATATGATTCAAAATAGAAAAATTGGGAATAGGGAACAAAACTTCCATTCCCATACAATTCAGAATAGCAAAATTGGGAAAAGGAAAAAAAATTCCCATTCCCATGCGATTCAGAATAGGCACAATTATAATTAATTGAATATAATAAAATTTTTATTTAATATATTTTATTAATATTATTATTTTAATAAAAATTTATAAAAAATTTAAAATGTTTCAATTTTTATTTATTTTATCCATAAATAAACGCTTTATTAAGCGTTAACTATTGTTATTTAAAACAATCGATAACGAAAGGAATCCAAATCCTAGAATGAATGGGATTCCTAAAATAAGTTAAAATAAACTTTAGCAATTATGCGCAAGTAAAACATTTCTTTTTTTTATTGTAACATTAGGCGTTTTCTTTTGTAAACATATCACAAAAGAACAACTGCTTATTTTAAAAACAACATATGAAACAAGAACACTGCTAGCTTATTTAGGCCAACCTTTTTGAAACCGCTTAACCAATAAGCAGCTCAAATTGCATGGTTGCCAAGACTAAAAACTCGTCTATTGTGAACGATTTTTGGAAGTACGTATGAAATTTCCAGTTCACGGCCAGCTGTTAACTGTGTTTGAAAAATAATAATATACAATTCTTTTTAATTTACATCTGCCAATATAACATTTTGTAATAAATTTATTTTGCTGTTTAAAAATGAGTGAAACGTAAGTAATTGTAGAAAATAAAAATATTAAGAAACTCTATTTTTCTAATTATATACATATTTATAGTCATATTGTAACATCACGAAAACGGTGAAGCAATGCAGAAACAATTGGGTTTCTGCATTGCTATTTAGCAAGGAAGCACGAGTTCGAACACACAAAGAAAAATAGGGCGGCTTATTTTAATGTATTAGAAGACATGGTCGCAAAAAACATTACTGTAAGTTTGACGAATGATTGTATAACCAGGCAAAATGTATTATTATCTACTTTTTCTTTTATTTCAGGATAAAGAAAGAACGGCGCAGTGTCTAGAATGAAAAATGCGGACTTTAATGAAAGCATATAAAATGGCAATAGACAACAATAAACGAACTGGCGCTAGTCCGTATTTTTCACTTCATATGGAGATAATGAACGAAATTTTCGGAAATTCTCCAAAAATTAGAAATACCAATGCTTTGGATATGGGCTTCGAAGAAATGGTAATGCTAGACGACTCTCACTCAAGTATGTCATTTTCGCAATTGTCGCCAGCATTGCTATCCCCGCAACCTTCTCTAAATGAAATTGAAATTGAATCATAAAATCCAGCGCCAAGTGTAATCGGATCACTGACTTCAACTCCACCACCACCTTCAACTTTTAGTTTGTTAACAGGAAAAGTACGCAAGCGATCAGCTCGCGATATATACTATGAAGAAAAGCTTAAATTGAAAAAAATTTAAATGAAAGAGAAACAAAAGCTAAGACAACAAGCTGTTAATAATATCCAACAGCAATTGGCGGTTGATCAAGAAATAGAGCGCAAAAAATTGTCGCTGTTGGAGGCCGTTGTGAAGTCTCATTAAATCCATAATTAGTTTAGTTTATTATTTTATTTAGTTTATTTATTTTTTTTTTTTTTATAATTTCAATATTCACAATTTCTTTCTATATTTTGTTGTTTGTACTTTATTTTC